TCAAGTTGCGATTTTCTTCGAGAGCTACGACGATTCATTCGAGTAAAACCACTGCAGTGAATGTATTTCCATCTGCTGTTAGGATTTCCTTCCCAACTAGGACAATCAGCGATCACATGTCCGTATAACTTGAATTTGAAGCACTTCATATCTTTCGGAGGCAGTCGTCTTCTTGGTGATTCTGGTGTATGAGAATCTTCATCATTAACGAGATAGAGATTGTGTCTTTTTAGATCACTTAGCCTTTGAGTCAACATTTCTAGTTCTCTAGTGATGGTGTGTTGATTCTCGACATCTTCTTGTTCTGAACTGCCATAGTGTGAGAGGATTTGTCCTTCACTTTTCGAAGAAGATTCTTGATTGGCATTTTCCAGCTCCATCTTTTCTTCATGAATAGATAATGGTGTCATGACCTCAACATAGTGAAGCTCTTCATAGTCAGGTCTTTGTTTGATTTCAGACATAATGGGATCGAAGGATTCATTAAGTGCACTCAGAAGCTTGTCGACTACATCTCCATCAGTGATATTAGTTACTCCTTGCTGATGTAATCTTTCGACAATGTTTGTCAATTGATCAGTGAGTTCCATGACACTTTCCCTATGAATGCCTCTGAATCCAGTGAACATAGTACGAATCATTTTAGTGTGAGGATCCGATCGGGCGACAAAATCTTCATGGGCGCTGTTGAGAGCATCCCAAATTTGTTTGTTGTGTTGAGCCTGTGAAACCGAAGGAAAATGTCTTTTGATAGACTGCCACAGATGATATATTTTTCTTGAGCATCCAACTACAGATTTGTTTTATCATCGGAAGTCAGATCATCTTGTTGCTGAATGGTGTAGCCATCTTCCACAATCTGCCACAGATCGTAGTTGACAGCTTGAATTCTGATTCTCATTTGCTCCTTCCAGTATAGATAGTCATTTCCATTGAAGATGGGAAACCTTTCAGAGTGCGAGGATCTACCTGCAAGCGATATACTGTGATGGGTACAAGAACTCTCACTCGGAACTACTGTGATACTAAACCACTGTCTAAGTTTGGGCTCTTAGTTTTCTCTCGGTGGATCTTAAACTCAAATTACTCGGAGAGGGATTGCTCAAATCAATCTTCTCAGAAATCTCAAGTAGAGCAGCCAATGGTCATAGTTGGAGCGGGGTGGCTATTTATAGTCGCAACCTTTCCAGATGGGAAAAGACCAAATTAGATATCGGGCTCAGCCAATGGCCGAACGACACGATTCCAACGGTCGGATTTGAGCACAACGATAACATTTCTTGTGGAGCAAGAAATGCTAACTCCTTGGTCCTAGACAAATCTCTCGCGGAGAAGAAGAATACAGTCTCTTGCTGACGAGTATTTGCTCGGAGCACAAAGAGATTTCTCTCGCATCTTTCATAGGTTTTGGCTAAGCATCACAGCGGATCTAAGCATCGAGAACCTATACCCCTCTTCATAGTACGGAGGTCCTATGACTCAAAAGAATGAAAGAAGAACAACTAAATGAATGCTACGTCTTCACATAGTCTTCGACTTCCATCACTGTAGCCAATATTTCCGGACAACAGTACTAAGACAAAAATTTTGCTTCTGCAGTAAACTTTCGAGGGGTCGATTTCTTCTCATCAATCTTCTCGACTCTATCACTTCAACAAGTATAGCTCATTCTTCTCTGCAACGCAGATGTGCTTCGGTGAAGTTCCTCGAACTCAGCACCAGAGACAACATATTCTTCAGTTGTGTATGGACTTTTCTCTCTCTATATGCACTAGCAAACAAATTAGTCCATACCTGTTTTTGTCAACAATCTCCAAAACACAAGGCAGGCAGATATTGCACCAATACGGACACTAAAGAAAAAGATACTACGTTCGAAGAGATTTCCAAAGTCTTTATTCGAAGAAATTGATTTGGATTAAGCATACTTCAAAAATATTGTCTTCGTATCACCTAGACCCCACTTAACAATACAGATTGACCTATGACTTAAGTGAAGAATAAAGAGAACTGTAAAAAAGACTAGGTCTTCACGATTCAGTTCTTCGGCTAATTCTTCAATGCGCGCACCGAATTTTTCAGTGTTTCATCCCATTTTTAGGGGTCACATTTATTGGTTAAACCAATTTTTCAGGGACTTTTACCAGTGTACATTCACAAACATATTAGTCATGTAATCATTTTTGTGATCAATACTCCAAAATCATAAAGGGGACACTAGATGCATTTAACAAAAAGGCCTTCCTTTTCTTCGCATTGCTTCAGCGGTTGGTTTTCTTTGGCAGAGAAGCATAACATAGTGTCATTTTCTTCATTGGATATGGCACGTTCTTCGGTGTAGAAAGAGTAGATTTCTTCTTTGGGGAAGAAAATTTCTTCTCCGAGGTGGGAGCTGTAACTGGTTTCGGCATCCTACGATTGTAGTCTTTGCGGATCCTCATTGTGTTAGAGCATCTCCAGCCATTCGGCCCCCCAGGGCGATGAAAAAGAACCGCCTAGGGGCGAGCCGACGTTAGATTGGCCCCTGGGGGCGACCTGGCTCTCAGTCGTCGGCCCACAGGTCGTCCCGGGTTCGCGACGTCCGTACAAAATATATGAAAACTCGGCATTTTTTGCACGAACTCGGCGAAATTTTGTTGAAATTTATACAAAACACATGCAAACTACGTCTTAACAACGCCTAAACTACGCCTAGCCGCCACCGCCGTCGCCGCCGTCTACATGCCGTGGAGCCTGTAAAAGCGGGTGTAGTCAAAGCCGTCGTCGTCGTCGTCGCGCGGCTGGCTTGGGCCGACGTGGCCCTGCTGCAGCCCTGACCCGGGTCGCCGAGGCGCAGTGGTGCGCTGGACGGCCTGGCCTCGCCCTCCTTGTCGCTGTCAAGGACGATGACGCCACCTTCCTCGCGACCGCGGCGACGGGCCTGGAGCTTCTCGTACGCTCGGCGCTGGCGGCGTACCTGCTCCCAGACTTAGTCCTCGTTCGCCCACTTGAGGGCGGACTCGTCGTTGGGGGCCGCCATCTTGACGTGCTTCGGCTTCACCGGGAGCATCCCAGGCTCTGGCTTCGGCCGGACCAAGCGGTAGGATCCGCGCTGGGGGGATCGGGTGGCCTCGTTGATGACGAGGGCGCCAGAGCGGCGTCTCCTCCGGCTCGGGTTTGACGGAGCGGAGCGCGGTCGGCGAGCCGGAGCCCGACGAGGACGACCCCGGCTCCATCTGCCACGGTGTCCAGGAGCTACCAAGGAGGCGAGAGAAGGATGGTCGCTGCGGGTACTCGAGGCGCGACACGTTGCTGGTGTTGATGTGGTCGAGGACGGCCTCGAGGGTGCGGCCCGAAACGCCCCACCACTCGCGCCGCCCGTCGGCGTTGTGGTGGCCCTGCGGGATGACGCCGTTGGTGGAGGCGATCTGCTCCTCGCGGCGGCGCTCGAAGTACATCGTCTAGAGGGCGTGACTGTCGGCGGCGTAGCGCGGCTCGTTCCGCTTTTCCTCCGTCGGGGAGGAGCGAATGTGGGCGATCTCGCCGCGCCGCGCCGCCCCTTCGGGCACCAGTGGCACCGGGACGCCGCCGGCGCTCAGCCTCCACGTCCCCGGCACCCGCATGTCCGGGGGCGCCGGGTACTCCGCCTCGTACAGCAGCCGCGCCTCTGCCTCTTGGAGGTGGCGGCGGCCGAAGCCGTTCGCCGCCGCGCCATCGTCTGGGTACCTGTCGACCATCTTTCTTGTCGGCAGGGAGAAGGGAGAGAGTGTTGCTTTTTGCACCGGAGAGGGGGGGAAATGAGAGCTGTGGCGTCCACCGGCGGGGAGGTCGCCTTTTATAGCCGTCGCTGGGCGGCGTCGGGCTGCAAGCCGGACGACGCGTGGCTGGACGCGCGTCGCGGCGCGTTCACTGCGCCGCCCGTGAGGCATCGATGGAGGCTGACCGGTGCGGCAGCCTTCGCATTGATTCCCGCAGGAACCGAGGCGATGGAGGCGACGAAACGGCGTGTCGCTGACTCGGCGGGCCCATCCGCTTTCGCGCCAAATCGTCTCGCTCTGGCGCCCCCAGGCGCCCCCAGCACTCTGGGTTCTGCCTGGGTCCGTCGGCGCCAATTTCGGTCCAAGCCAGCGAAAAACGGGCTCCTGGGGACGCGACTGGGCCGATTTTTGGATGCCGGCACGGGAAAAACGCCTGAAAAGGACCTATTGAAGGCGCGGTTGGAGATGCTCTTAGAATTCAGCCTCTGTCGAGTTCCACTGCAGCCAGCGACCCTGGCATCGAGTTGTTCTTGCATGATGCCAATCTCATGCTCCTTGGTGCGAATTGATTCTGAAGTCATCTTGTGAGCATTGCGCATTTGCGCTCCAGGCGCTCTCTAGTTTAGCTTTTTCAATTTCATCACCTGCTTGTTCATCTCTTTTTCCCGCCAATATTTGAACTTATCGCCAGGCGGAATGTCTAATTCATCATGAGGCTTGCTCGATCGTGCATCTATTCTTTGATGAATTCGAGGGTTTTTGCTGGATCCAGCAGAAGCAGAATCGCCAAATCCTTTGCTATCGCTGCTTGACGCTGCCTGCGTTCAATGAGAGTGGAATCATCATCTGGATCGGATTCTTCAGTAGGCTAGATTATTATTCTTTTCATGAGAGACGAGGCTCTGGTAAGAAAAATGAACCGGGCTAATCCCCCTTCCATTACTTTCATAACCGAAATACATCAGTCACATAGAATTTAAAGGGGACCGGAAAGAGAAAGAGTGTCGATCTTGAATGACAAATATGCATTTTACAAGACTGAAGCCCTGTACAAACACCGGGAAGAACTCCACCAAAATTGTTCCGTTGCATGGAGAAAAATCTCTTGTAAAAACCATAGGAACAGCGATCGGCTGCAAACAGCTACGCACCAGATTAATCTATCACTTGACTACCAAAAAAAGAAAAGGAAATCACAACTGCAACTGCACTTAAAACACCATATGCTGCACTCCGAAGTTTTCAACAACACAGATAACGCTGTCAGTAATTCAACAAGGAATACTTCACTCTCAGAACAATCCTCCCCTTTTCAACACCAAGCTTCCCGCCCGTCACCAGCCAGTGCCCCGGCATGTCGTCAGGGCCTTTGCACAGCTCCGACCTGTCCACGATCTTCACGAACTTCCCTGCATCGCTCGAGCCTACGCCAGAACCCCCCGGGTCCAGATACATGATGTTAGAAGGACCAACTGTTGGATGGCTGCTGGCGGCGGCAGGGCTGTGATCCCACAGCGATCTCCGGGTGGTGCAACCGGGGACCCTCGAGTAGAGAAGCTTCATGTACAGGACGTTCTTCAAACCAAAGTCCCACACCCCGAGCTGTGCCCCAGTGACAATGTACACGCCGGAGGCATCCCCGATGAGCACCTCGTGGTGCTCAACTGGAGCTGTGCTGACGTGGGAGAAGCTATTCCACTTCACAGGCTCGAACCAGCGGCTGTCCTGCTCCTCCGGCCCCTGCCATTTCGCTGCACCAATCGTGATGTGTGCATCCCAGTAAGGCTTGAGGATCTTTGGAAGAGATGCTAGATGCTGCAGTTGGATGCATAGCCTGTCCTGCTTAGCACCTTCCAAGCATAACCTTAGGCCAGTTATTGGCTTGCGACCCACTGACACCTGAAAAGATATGACATGATATGATACGTGACCGATGCCTAAAGGGGCACTGTGGGAGAAGTTGTGCAGGTACTGCAATGGTCTGGAGACTAGTATGCAGATACGTATACCAGTTTTTAGCTGGTGGTTTGTTGACATAATGTTTCATATTTAATGGAGATGGCATGACTCATGACCAAAACTTTGGGGCATGTACGTAAACTTGGTCAGCAACATTCTAAATCACTCATAGAACATAATGCCTTTCAGGTCCTGCAACAAATCCATGGAGAGAGAGCACTGGACAGAGGATGCAAGGATCTGAGCTGCTCGACAAATTGATTGAAGGTGACTTCTGGTAATTCCAGTTCCACTTGTGTCGTTTGGTTGTCCTCTATGTATAGGCACAAATTAAAATTGTAAAACGGCGTTGTCTCTCAAATATTACAATGTCCTTGCATGGAGAGAGAGAGAGCACTACTTTTATGTGTCCATTAACCATCTTCTCTAATTACAGCAGAGTTGCATAGAGATGAGTTATATTAGCCACTGGAATTCAGGCAATAAGACATTGTATGTTTCTGGTGGATAAATTTCCAAAGATACGGTTCTATCGGAAGGTATGACTACCTAGTAAAGTTATTATAGAAAAATTAAGCTCGATACTAAAGCAATATTGGCACAAAGGACAAAGTTTATTGTAATAGCATATTTGTTACTCACTTGTTAATTTGATGTTTAATTGACTAAGATAACAATAGCATGCATGCATCAATAAGCTTCTGATGAAGTCAATAGACATCACAGTGATAGCCAAGTACCTGTTCTTGGCTGATGTACAGCTTTTTCCCCATCAAGCTGAACTGCAAGGATGGGCACACAGGCTCTTTCCTTTGATGGAGAGGGTGCTCATCACGAATTGGTGCCCAAACTCTGGGAAGCTGGAACTCTAGGAAGTAACGCAGCTCCTCAATTGGAGGTTTATCTAAGAAAAGAAATGGTTAATGATCGCATCAAAATATCATTATTTCTAGAGAATAATTAAATTTAAACAAAATATAACAACAACGCTCCTGATTTTGCAAACATTCTATAGCTTCATTACAATAGCATAATTTTTGGTCAAAAGAATGGCGGATTGGTCCAGATATACAAATATGCAGTCGATGGACCATCTTTTGTTATACATATTTTATTGTTCTTGAATAGAGATTTCTATTATCCCCATAGAATTTCTATGGGAAGTTCATGCATGCAAGCAGGACATCTAAACAATAATTTGTGAAGATACTCACTCAAAACATAAATATATATGAAGGCAATGTTTACATTCTAGATAAAGGTTGATCGCCCGGATGAGATGGTCTTTTCCAGGGATGGCTGCTTCCAACAGAGTCGTTAGAGGGAAAAGGGTCATATGTATAACATCAGGCGCTGAGTTAACAGTTCTTGCCCACTCAGAATGACTTTGAACTAAATCATCTCCTCCTCTCCTTCTGAAAATCACAGTGACATCCTGCAGGATAATTCGTTGGAAGGTTCAAGAGTTTCAGTTTGTCGCACAACATTACTCAAGGGATAAAATAATGATACACGGAAAGAAATGACTGGCAAGGTCAACTGGTTTGTTCACTGATGTACTCCCTCTGTTTCTAAATATAAGCCTTTTTGAGTGAATCTACACTCTAAAATACATCTATATACATCCGTATGTAGTCCGTATTGGAATCTCTAAATGTCTTATATTTAGAAACAGAGGGAGTACTAGGAAATACTAGACAGAGATTTCGCAGGCATAGTTTGTTCTAGAAAATGGCCATAAAATTGCAGTGCACATAAACACATTCGGTCATGCAGTGCATTTCAGAAAATGCTTACCAAGCACAACGTCCTGGAGCCAATTTAGCCTAGAAAATAAAGCATCTGCTTTCTGGAAGTTCGTCTAGCAAAAATTATATGAAGGGACATCCACAATAGATCTACATGTGAACTGTAATGGTTTACAGTCAAGTAGCTACAAAACAATGGTAACAACATATTGATGATGACTGGGTACATAGTGCAATAGTGGAGTGCAAGGGGCACATTATTACTAAATCCACATACCATGATACCGAGTGAACTGCTGGCAATTTGTATTTATCAAATATCGAAAGGATATTCACAATTTCAATGGCTGATTGGGAGGATTTTGATCAAACAAAAATTAAACTCCTACAGGACATTGTATAACCAGAGGAAGTTGGGCATGTGTGCTAGCTCAAACTCTGATATCAGATAAGCACCCCTTTGTACTTTATTGAGAGAGACTTGACAAAAGATCATTCACAATCAGCAATATCAAAACATAAAGAAAATGCAGCATGGAAATATTAATTAGGGTGGCATGTACTTGCCTCTTTTGCTGCAATATATGGTGTGCTTGGAGGTTGTGGATATACTCCTTGGCTGTTGAACCCAAGATTTTCTCTTTCCTGACCCAAAATCATAACTGAAGTACAATAAGATTTAACTTATAATGTGGATGAATCTAACTAAAGAAAACCAAACCTTATTCATTGATCTTATAGGGCCTGAGCCTGTATGGATTTCATTTTCAGTAAACCTCTGATGTCCAAGATCGTGTATATAATTTTTAATTTCCACCACGGAAAGTGATGATGACGGATGCTGCTTGATGTAAATCAAATCCTTCCCGCCAATGGTAATGGATGTTATGACATGCGTTCCATAATTCTGAATGAACCTGTTAAAAGCTCAACACTGTTAAGGGCCTGCCATTGGGCATCAGTGGTGAGCTATATCAAACACTGTTAAGGGCCCTCCTTTTTTTAGAGCAACCTGCATGTGTTTGTTTACCTTGCGAGAGATGATGGTTCCCATGAGTGAGGCACTGCATGCTTAACTTCCTCTACCACTGACAAAGGCTGTCGCACAAGTTGGACCTTATATAAAGGAATGGTCTTGCCCTCCATCCCGAGACTTTTGGTAGCCATGGCATCAAATCTCTTGGATCCAGTAAAGCTATATGCTGAATTAAAGCTTCCAAGAGGTATATCTCCTGCAAGCTGGGCTTTTTTATTGAAATACCCAGCCATCTACAGTCCCTCGGAAACAAAAGTAAAACAGAACGGGTGAGACTGAAGACCACATGAAGCAAGATGATAATTAACTGAGTTGATGTCAGACCAAAAAACGATTTGTTAGTGCCACAATTAATAGAAATTTATAATCAAACAAGTGCCGATGAGGCAATTAAAAGTAAACAGACTCAAAGAAATATGTGTACTAAAGTATTACTTCCTCCGTTCACAAATATAAGATGTTTTGGATATTTCAATATGAACTAAATACAGATTGAAATGAGTGAACAAGCACACTAAAACGTGTCTATATACACCCGATTCATTAAAAAGTTAAAACATCTCAAATCTCTATTTCAGATCATAATATTTCGATCACTTAACCGAAGTGATTAATAGCAGGGCTAAAAAATCATAGGGCATCTTCTATTTTTAGTGTCAACTCACTTCTATTCTATATCAAGATAGGGGCTTCAGTACTTGACTGACCGCCCGGTGGAAGACCTCGTTCTACCACACAAGGGCAGCTTTCCTAGTCCAGGATTATTTTCCTCATATGTAACTTCACCTTAATGTGGAAATGTCCATCTTATTCAAAAATATAAGGTCTTCATGAAGGTCTGTCTTGTTTTTTAAAACCTAAGGGTGGATCAAAAGGCACTGGTATTCTCTAACCTAACTTGTCAGATCAATAATCAAGGGACACAAGAAGAAGGCAAGAGCGCGGTTCCAGCTAAAACCAACTCTGTGAGGAAAGCAGAACTCAGCAGTGACTGATCTGCTCGAACCACACTGCTTACTTAGGCTCACTTACGAGAGCTCCCCTGACTCTGATCTCTGATCTAGTAGATGTGAGAAGTCAATCCAACTCCATCGGATCTTATGATCTTTGCAGAGGACAAAGGTAATTCGTATATTTCCTCCATTTATATTCGTAACAAAGAACTCCCACTATTCGTTTGTATCAGCCTTTAGCAAAGCATAATCTAATGAAAGCCGTCTGAGATTCATTCCATAGGTTCCCTGAAGAGAAAGGATCCTTGCCTACAAGAGAAGGGATCCAGAAAAAAGAGGGACGTAAAATAGCAAGAGTACGGTTCGTAGTCTTTTTTTGTCCTTTTCCATCTACTGAAAAAGTCTGGTGACAAAGTCGGGTTTTCCGGTTTTCCTCTAAAATAGGGACCTCCATCTCGACATATAAACTACTAACGGAACTTCATGCGAATCTACAAGTTTTGGAGATTTTTTCTATTTACATTCCTGTCGGTTAGAAAGAGCCGCTAAATGATCGGACCAGACAGGTGCAGGTAGCTCCACTGCGTTACCCGTGATTGAAATACAAGCTGGAGATGTATCGGCCTATATCCCCACCAATGTGATCTCCATCACAGATGGACAAATCTGTTTGGAAACAGAGCTCTTTTATCGCGGAATTAGAGCAACTATTAACGTTGGCTTATCCGTCAGTTGCGTCGGGTCAGCCGCTCAGCTGAAAGCTATGAAACAAGTCTGCGTTAGTTCAAAACTGGAATTGGCACAGCTTGTACTCCTACATAGCATATGATTAAAGCTGCATCCGGTTATGTCCTGACACTACCAGGATACGAAGAACAGTTCAGAAACAGCATGCACTTAATCAAGCAGCTAGCACGGAATTAACAGACAAACGACGAAATTCAGAGACAAAACACAATAAACAGTGTCAGTCGTCGGCACCTCGTGGAAGGCGCACGGGCCAGCGGTCTCCGGTACACCAACCCCACTCTCACCGGAGCAGTCAACATCCTTGGGCACACCGGGGACAGTGAGCCCGTCAGGCATGACCAGATCCCTGGAGCTCAGCTCGCCGTCGTCGACGCCGACGAGGCGAGACCCCTTGCAGTAGAGCAGCCTGGTGTCGTGGGTGGCATCGAACCCTCGCCCCAGCGCGTCGATGGAGCTCCGGATCACGCGCAGCGCCGGGGCGCCCTCTTCCTCCATTTCAGGACCGGTGGCGGCCCAAGAACGCCCGCGGGTTCTACGATGCGTCGAGAATTCCGGGGAGAGCAGGACCCATCTCGCAGATCCTCAACTTTTTCTCCGGCAGCAAGAAGGGCCTGAAGTAGACTGTGAGAACAGCCGGGGCAAGTAGAGCGGAAGAGAGACGACGACGGCGAAGGCGAAGGCGACGAGGGGGGAATTTCCGCCGGTGCTTCAGTGGAACGCGGGTGAGAAAAGCAAGAAAGGGGATAAAGGCTCGTGTGGACGGAAGAAAGACTCGCTAGGTCTTCCTGCAACTTTGTCGCTGGCAAACACACACACAGTGGATGTTGCAGCGTGGAATTGGGAAAAAAGTCTGACAGGGACGTCTATCGAATGTGATTTTGCGATGGTTTCTAACAAAGTCTTTTGGATTTTGGTTGGCGGTTTGTTCTAGTTCTAGACTAGGTATTTTTTTTCTAGATGCGAAGAGTCAAGGGTAGCTTACCCTTTTTGTATTTGGCTGATCCAGCTTATAAGAAAAACCGGATCGAGAACCTAAACAAGTTAATCTGTTCACGAAGAAACCAGGCAAAAAACTACTCACTCCGTCCCGTAACATAAAAGCGTTTTTGACACAAAGGTATATAAGTAACAAAGATAAAGAAAGAAGAAATTGACGCCGAGAAGAACACAAAGACCAACACCATGAGCGATACAAGTAGATATGGAGTGTCGACGAGGAGTCATAATATCAAGACTTTGTAAATAGCCTGGTTTAACCAAGGTTTGTTGGAGAAAGAAAACTTGTAGTAGTACAAGTCAAGAGTACTAAGACGTAGACGCACTCTCTGCCGTGTTGTTTCCTTCCTAGGGTGGATTGGATTTATCTGCTGATTGTTTATTAGTTTGTTGTCTTTTTGTTATCATGGTTTTGATGAGGTGGCCATGGTGTGAGATCCATCAAAACCATAGACATGGTTGGATGAAGAGCACATGCTTTCGCGCCCGGACAAAAGTTGCCACCGGCTTCAACTTCAACACAGCAAACGTGATTGGTTTAGGTTAGCCCACCAAACATTCTACACAGCCTTATTTTGCTTACAACTTCTGAACTTTACTCTGGACAAACAGCATTATGTGGTGCTAGTTACTACAGTTCAAAACCGCAACACTTATTATGGATTCAAGGGAGTAGTATAATCCATTTCGATTGTTTGCAAGCCAAGCGGTAGCGTATCCTGCAATGCTGCACATCTCATCGGTGCTCACATCAGATGTGTAAAGACTGAACAAGGGTAGGTAGACGTGGACACAAAACCATATCATTTGTGACATCTTGTTTCAATGACGTGAGGCTATAAAAATGGAATGCTGTAACATCTAGCATGGCCTTCACCTTCACTCACAAGAATCAAGCGGAATATTTGCGAACTCGATTAAGTAGCTCCAGCAAAGGAAATTAAGCTTTTCAAGGTCACCAGTGCTCCATCTTAAAACAGGCCATTTTCAGCTTAATAACAAGGTCCTCTCAGCTTAATAACAGAATAAATGAACTCAGCATGGTTACTAACTTGACGTTTCTCTTCGTTCTTCACTTGGAAGCTTAGAAGCGGCAACACACAGCCTAAAAAATCACATCAAGCTGCAATTGAAGATATGCACATTATCACAATATTCAGAAATAGTACCATGTAACAAAGGAGGAACGCTAAGCTACCTATTGAAGCTGCGGCCTGGCTGTACTCAGATTGACGAATCAGACTTCTGGAACTGAATTCGGTCATTCTTCGCTCTAAATATTAGCTACGGAACATCAACTTGACTGTGTGCGGCGTGCTTCCGAACACCGTGTTCGGTTATCCTCGTTCTCAGATGCTCAACGTCGTCCCATCTCCTTGCTTCTGCATAAACATTGGATATCGTGATGACATCCCCATCATCAGCGGGCATCAGCTCATGCAATTTGTGGAAAGCCTTTTTAGCAAGGTCCATTTGCCCATGCACTCGGCATGCAGCCAACACCATCTTCCAGAGCACAGAGTTTGCCTTGACGGGCATATCATCCATCATTTGATATGCTTCTGCAACTTTACCGTAGCGGCAGAGCATGTCTATCATGCACCCGTAATGCTTCACATCCGGCACAATTTTGTAGTCTGCAGCCATGCTGCTAAAATATGATCTCCCCTCGTCCACTAGGCCACCATGGCTGCAGGCAATCAAGACACCAAGAAATGTGACATGATCAGGCTCAACTTTCATCGAATCAAAGAGCTTCAGAGCCTTGTGTGAGTAGCCATGAACCGACAACCCAACAATCATTGCATTCCAGCAAGTAATGTCCCTGGTTGACATGCTTTCAAAGACTTGCATGGCAAGGTCCAATCTGCCGCATTTCGCATACATATCAACGAGCACGTTACCAACATAACCATCAGCCGCAATGCCCTTGCTATCCAGGTAACTGTGGACACCCTTCCCAAGCTCCACCTCGCCAATCTCTGCACATGCCCCAAGAACAGACACAAGTGTTAGCTCGGTCAGCTCGATGCCATTGTCCTGCATCTCTTGGAAGATCTCCAATGCTTTCTTGTACCTCCTGAGCTTCACATAGCCACCGATCAAGGAGTTCCATGACACAACGTCCCTGTCAGGGATCTCACTGAAGACCCGCGATGCCTCCTCCATATCACCAGCCCTCGCATTCCGCACGATCTCGGCGTTCCACCATGAAATGTTCCGGTCAGGCGTTTCCTGAGACAATCGCTCTGCACCATGCGAATCACCCGCCACATCGTGCGCACCCACTAGGGCGTTCCAGGAAACGGCGTTCCTAACAGGCATTTCGTCGAACACCCTCCTCGCCTCCCTGAGACGGCCGAGCTTGCCGTACATGGACACGAGCGCGTTCTGCACGTAGCGATCCGCACCGCAGCCCAGCTTTAGGACGCGGCAGTGCAACTCCAGCCCCTTGAAGGCGAAGGCCTCGGAGGACGCGCTGGCTCCAGAGCGCAGCTTGAAAGCCCGGGCGCAGGATTTGAGGAGGGCGGGGAAGGTGGGGAGCGGAGTGGGGATGGAGAGGGAGGAGACGTGGTTGAAGATGACGAGCGAGAAGTGAGGAACGGGGGAGGAGGAGAATGCGGCGATGAACGGGCAGAAGAGGGACTGGGAGAGAACGCCCGGAGGGGCGGAGAGTAGGAAGGCGAGGGACGACGGGGAGGCAGGGAGTCGGGAGAGGACGGCGCGGAGGTCGGCCGGGTGGTGGAGGAGGCCATGCTTGGTGAGGAGCGCGTGGAGCTGGTGGCCTGCGGCGGCGCTCCGAGGAGGGAGGCGACGCGCGGCTCCGGCCGGCGCGTTTGAGACGGGAGCCATCGAGCTCGAGCCCATGAAGCCAGGTCCACCACCCTCTCCACGCGCTGGGGACTGGTAGCTGCAGGTGGGCCCAGAAGTTCGTCCGGGTGCATGCTTGATTATATTGGATGTATAGTACCCCTTCCATTCTATAATGTAGTGCTTCCTCTATCCATATGCTTCAACTTTGACCGTAAATTTAACTATCGAGACTGATTGCGGCGGGAACAAAAATTATATCAGTGAATTCGCATTCGAAAGAAGTTTTCAATTATATGATTTTTTTCTCCCGCCGCAGTTGGTCTCGTTGGTTAAATTGATGGTCAAAGTTGAACCTCGAGAAGCGCGGGCGCACTATATTTTGGAATGAAGGGAGTATGGTTTCCAGAGTAGGTAGGTCTACCTCGAGATCAGCATGAGCTAAACCCTAAGGTGATGAGATGATGAATATACCTCTCTCCGTAAAGACTACAACCCCCGATTTATATAGACACCGGCAGGGTTAGTGAAAGGACATGCGGTGCCCCCATGTGTGGTTTTGGTAATTGATGACAATCTTTATGGACTAACGATTGCCTTGAGTTATATTTGAAGGATTTGTCCATAGGATTGTCTTGAAGTACATGTGTTGGTTTCAAGGAGTTTATGAGATGGCCAAAGTGCGTTTCAAGGAATTATTCAAAGATTGGTCATGTGAGAGTTGAGCTTATTGCAAGCATGCCTTGAAGAAGAAGATTATGTGATCATTCATGTTTACCTTCAAGACATCATCCAAATGAAGCGAGTTGGAGAGATTTAAGGTTGATCAAGACTAAGTCAAGAGTGAATCAAGTTGCTCAACCCACAAAGCGTAAAAGAAGTACCGAGAGGGATCAAGTGATCCCATGGTATGGTAAGCATCGTCCATTACGCTTTGTGTACTAACCCATGGTCTACGCGAGAGTTCTTTGTGGGGTTAGGTATGTTTCCATGGTCTTGCGTCAAGAGGAAGATCTCATACAACCCATGAAGAATGACATCAAGTGGTGATCGTCATCAAGTTTGCAGTGTGCAAGTTCAAGTGGAGCAACACAAAGAGTGGCTCACCCATAATGGAGTATGGGGGAGCAATCAAGCTTGAAGCTTGTCGTCCATTGTGGTGTCAATGGAATTGTGAAGATGTGCCGAAGAGTGGCTCACCCATAGTGGAGTATGGGGGAGCAATCAACTAGTCTCCATCAAGCCAACACAATCAAGAAAGGTGGTCCAACTTGAGGAAGTCAAGATCGTCATCATCTAGCTCAAGTGGACCATGTGCAAGGCAAAGGTTTGCCCTTGATAGGTTTTTTATTTTACCGGTTTCATAGTGGTAGTTGGGAGATCGGGTTATAGGATCGATTGTCGTACTATCAACGGGGGCTTTCTAGTGAGTAGCTTGATCGTTTCGTTCGTCGAGAGCTCAAACCATTGCATCCTTGCATCATCTCTCTTGTTTCTTTTTTGGTTCTTCTCCTTGTGAGATTTGGATCTCATGGTCATCTTCTTGACAAGCTCGAGTTCATCAAAAACCGATTTCTTTTTAATCTTCTTTTGTGTTTTCGGTGTTGGAGTTTTTACCGGTCTTAATTAAGAAAGGGTTCTCACCATTTTATTTTGGGTATTTTCTCAATTTCTATTTATTGATATTTCTATCAAGATTGTGTTTGTTTTTGTCCTTAGCTTTCCAACAAACTTGATTTCGTCGAATTCGGAGCTCGTATGCGAAAGTTGTGGTTGTTTTGATATTACCTGTTTGACACACAGAGGTTGTACCGCCCCATAGAGAGGTTGTACCGGTTGACCGGTACAACCGGTGTTTGGAGCGGTTGTACCACTCCAGAATTGGTCTGAAGGTTGTACCGGCCATGTACCGCTCTATCACCGGACTAGTCTCTGTTGTGGTGCGGTTGTTGGGCGGTTGTGGGCCGGTTGTACCGCTTATTTCCTGTTACCGGTTGTACCGGTGCTCATATCGGCTGTACCGCTCCTATGTTTTTCTGCACATAATGGGCAGATTCGTGGGGACCTATTTAAGGGGGTCTTCTTCCCCAATGGTTCCCCATCTCTTGAGCTCGTTTTTGCCCCCAATGTTGACCTTCTTTGAGCTTGCTAACTCTCAATCCCTCCATGGATTCTTGCTAGTTTTTGAGGGAAAAGAGAGAGGAGATCTAGATCCACACTTCTACCAATCACTTTCTCCTCTATGTGAGGGGAACCCCTTGTATCTAGATCTTGGAGTTCTTGGTGTTCTCCTTCTTGTTCTTCCTCTCACTTTCCTCCCTAGCATTAGTTGCTTTGGTGGGATTCGAGAGAGAAGGACTTGGGCACTCTGTGTGCCCTTGCCATTGCATTTGTGCATCGGTTTGAGTTCTCCACGGTGATACTGGAGGTTACAAGTTAGAAGCTTATTACTCTTGGGTGCTTGATATCCTTGAGCTTGTTCCTCTTGGGTGCTTGGGCACCCTAGACGGTTGGTGGTGTTCGGAGCTCAATCATTGTGGTGTAAAACTCCGGGCAAGCATCGGGGTCTCCAATTAGGTTGTGGAGATCGCCCCGAGCAATTTGACGGGTACCGGTGACTGATATGTCCATTTTGCATCATGCTTTTATATCGATATTTATTGCATTATGGGCTGTTATTACACATTATGTCACAATACTTATTCATATTCTCTCTTATTTTACAAGGTTTACATAAAGAGGGAGAATGCCGGCAGCTGGGATTCTGGGCTGGAAAAGGAGCAAATATTAAAGACCTATTTTGCACAGCTCCAAAAGTCCTAAAACTTCACGGAAGGTGTTTTCTAAATATATAAAAAATACTGAGCTCAAGAACTTCACCAGGGGGGCCACACCCTCCCCACGAGGGTGGGGGGCGCGCCCTACCCCTCTGGGCGCGCCCCCTACCTCATGGGCCCCTGGTGACCCCCCGGTGGCCATCTTCTGCTATATGAAGTCTTTATATGGAAAAAATCATAAGCCATCTTCTCGGACGAAACTCCGCCGCCACGAGGCGGAACCTTGGCGGAACCAATCTAGGGCTCTGGCGGAGCTGTTCTGCCGGGGAAACTTCCCTTCCGGAGGGGGAAATCATCGCCATCGTCATCACCAACGCTCCTCTCATCGGGAGAGGGCAATCTCCATCAACATCTTCATCAGCACCATCTCATCTCAAAACCCTAGTTCATCTCTTGTATCCAATTCTTGTCTCCAAGTCCGGGATTGGTGCTAGTAGGTTGCTAGTAGTGTTAATTACTCCTTGTAGTTGATGCTAGTTGGTTTAATTGGTGGAAGATCATATGTTTAGATCCTATATGCATATTAATACCCCTCTGATTATGAACATGTTTATGCTTTGTGAGTAGTTACTTTTGTTCCTGAGGACATGGGAGAAGTCTTGCTATTAGTAGTCATGTGAATTTGTTATTCGTTCGATATTTTGATGAGATGTATATTGTCTCTCCTATAGTGGTGTTATGTGAACATAGACTACATGACACTTCACCATTATTTGGGCCTAGAGGAAGGCATTGGGAAGTAATAAGTAGATGATGGGTTGCTAGAGTGACAGAAGCTTAAAACCCTAGTTTATGCGTTGCTTCATAAGGGGCTGATTTGGATCCATATGTTTCATGCTATGGTTAGATTTACCTTAATACTTTTGTTGTAGTTGCGGATGCTTGCAATAGAGGTTAATCATAAGTGGGATGCTTGTTCAAGTAAGGACAATACCCAAGCACCGGTCCACCCACATACCAAATTATCAAAGTACCGAACGCGAATCATATGAACGTGATGAAACCTAGCTTGACGATATTCCCATGTGTCCTCGGGAGTGCTTTACATCATATAAGAGTTTGTCCAGGCTTGTCCTTTGCTACAAAAAGGATTGGGCCACCTTGCTGCACCTTATTTACTTTTGTTACTTGTTGCTCGTTACAAATTATCTTATCACAAAACTATCTGTTACCACTTATTCCAGTACTTGTAGAGAATACCTTGCTGGAAACCGTTTATCATTTCCTTCTGCTCCTCGTTGAGTTCGACACTCTTACTTATTGAAAGGACTACGATAGATACCCTATACTTGTGGGTCATCAAGACTCTTTTCTAGCGCCGTTGCCGGGTAGTGAAGCGCCTTTGGTAGGTGGAATTTGGTAAGGAAAAATTTATATAGTGTGCTGAAATTTACTGTCACTTGTTACTATGGAAAGTAATCCTCTGAGGGGCTTGTTCGGGGTATCTTCACCCCGAACAGTAGAACAAAGAGTTTTTTTTTGACTGTGAAGACAGTAGGAAAGGCTCCTACTGTATATATATTACTAAAACCTCAGGGGGTACAATTACATGTGTGATTTACATACATGGGTGGTTGAGGCACCACCATGGGACACCCTAGTTTACAAGACGCCTACTGTATGGACCCAAATATGGCAGATACAATATGTTGTTTGGAAGGTTTCACTCTATATCTAAGATTGTCAAAGTCCAACTTAAACCTCTGTTTCCAGGAAGCAACTGATGGCTTAATTTTCCTAAAGTGGTGGTTGTTTCTCTCCTTCCAGAGACTCCATGCCGACGTCAAAAATATATCCATCCACATCTTTCTAGGGTGCACGGTCTTTTGATGTTTGATCATGTCAAGTCTGTCATGCTGCAAAGACCAGTTGAAGCCAAGATGTAGCCAACATTCCTGACTAAATGTGCAGTGAAAGAAGAGGTGTTCCACCGTTTCTTCAACATGTTGGCCACAAAGGAGGCAGTCGAAGTTTGTCCCAATGTTGTAGTGCCTCCTCTTGAGCATGTTTCTGGTGTTGAGGCGATCAACCAGCAGGAACCACCCGAATGTTTTGAGCTTGGGAGTACACTTTGCTTTCCATAACCAACCGAAGGCTTCATGGGCAGTTACATCTCTGAAGTAGAATCTGTAGTATGATGATGTCTGGAAAGTATTGCCGCCCCAAATACACTGCCAGGTGTCATGTTCCTCCGTAAGAGTGTTTTCGGCCACTTCAAGTTGGATGGATCGCAGCTCATCATGGGCCTGAATAGAAAGCGGGAGTTGAAAGTTTTCCTGCAGATGGGGGGACGTGAAAATGTGTTGTACCGAGACATCTTCAGAGATAGCATATGAGTAGGCTCTCGGGCAACTATCAGCATATATGGACTGGCTCCAATTATCTTTCCAAAAGAGCGTAGAAGATCCATTCCCAATTTTTACGTGCGTGACGCCGCGATATATGGGCATTAGCTGAGTTAAGTCTTTCCACCAGAAGGAGCCACATGCATCATGTGCATGAGGGATGGAGTCACCATAGTAGGAATCCCAAATGAGATGTACCCAAGGGATATCATGCCTGTTGTAAAACTTGTGGAGAAACTTAAGCAGCAAAGCGTCATTCTGTATTTTGAGGTTGACAACTCTCAGTCCACCATTTTTCTTAGGCCTGCAGACCATGTCCCAAGCCGCAAGAGAATTGCTCTTGGTCCCATCTTCGGTCCGTTTTTGCCATAGGCAATGCCTTCTGATCTTGTCTAGTTGGGCCACAATTTTTGGTGGGATGCGAATGGTACCCATAGTGAACATGATAAGAGAGGTTACCAACGAATTCATTAGAGCAAGTTTCCCTGCGTACGACATTAGAGACATAGCAGCCGTAATGTTTCTTTCTGCTTTGCAAACAAGCGGAGCCAGATCCAGCACGGTCGGACGAGTGGTGCCTAGGGGCAGCCCCAGATATGTGAACGGCATGGAACCCACTGTGCAACCTAATAGCTCAGCCAGTTCTTTGCATTTGTCAGGAGGCGTGTTAATTGGCACAAGTGTGGACTTATGGAAGTTGATTTTGAGCCCTACTGACGTGGCGTAATCCTCCAGAATTTCCTTAATCTTGGTGAGTTGTCGGGTGCAAGCTGGCAGGATGATGAGTGTGTCATCCGCGTATTGGATAACTGGGTAATCCCCGTTAGTGTCACGTTGGATTGGTAAGTCCAGGATATTATTCCGAAGAGCCTCGTTGATTGCAGATTGAAGGAGATCCGCAGCTATAACAAATATCAGAGGCGAGAGGGGGTCACCTTGTCGCACACCGCACTTGCATAGGAAAGAACTTCCTGGAGTACCATTTAGAATGACTGAGGATTTGCCAGAATTGAAGATACTTTGCATCCAGTGGAGCCATTTGTCATTGAAACCCACTTTTTTCATAATGTGGAGCATAGCCGAGTGTTGAATAGTGTCAAAGGCTTTGGCAAAATCAAGTTTCAGTAGGATAATCTCATTTTGCGAGGCTTGACACTGGTGAATATACTCGAAGGCCCACGCTAAGCAGTCATGTATGGATCGTCCACGCAAGAACCCGTACTGATTACGGTGGACTATCTGCAAGATGATTTTTTGGAGACGATTGGCCAGTAGTTTGGTGATCAGCTTAAGGCAACAATTGAGCAAAGTGATTGGGCGGAAGTCATTGACCGTCTCCTGGGAGGCATTCTTTGGTATCAGAGTGATATAGCCATAATTTACGCTTTCAAGATTCAAGTCTCCTCTGTGAAATTCATTGCATAAGTTGTAGAAATCATTTTTAATGATAGGCCAACAAGCTTTCAGAAAGGCTCCATTGAAACCATCCGGGCCCGGGGCTTTGTCCGGGGGCATTTCCTTAATCGCAGCATCAATTTCATGCGTTGCAAACGGGGCAGTGAGGCTATCAAAGTCCACTTGGTGACGGAGCAGAGACGATAGGTTGAGTTTCATGTTAGGTTTCGAGCAAGAACCCAGCCTTTGTTTGAAGGCTTGAAATAAGATAGCTTCTTTACTTGCATGATCCTTGACGGTATACCCATTTTCAGATTTTAGGGTAGCAA